TTCACTTATAAAATTAAGATATTGTAAAAAACTAACGATATAACGTGTAGAATTTTTACTTTAAAAGTTTTTTTTCATAGGTCACTTTACTTTAAAACTGAAGCTAACTACATATAATTGGAACTGTAAAACATATATTTTTTTTTTATGTATTAGTAAGAGGAAGACAGCACTTACAGGTACAATGTTCATCTTAAAATAATAAATATGTGCACTGCCAAAATACTAAGTCCACAGAGTTAACTGGCTTACTTTTTATATCAACTTAGGTATATATTTCTCGCCGTTCGGGTATTGAAAAATTAGACACACCAATCTCACTCAAATATTATAATTAATCAAATAAGTTGAATAATATGCTGCGGCAGCTCATTCGATAAAACTACATTTGCATATGAAATCAAAACCCAGGGATCAAAAAAACACCCAACTTAATATAAACGGCTTTTTTAAAACCATCGGTATCAATACCAAAATATAATATTTAAATATCAGATGCAATTAAAAATGAAAATTATGTATATAAATATTAAAATATTACCAAAAAATTCTAATAAGTTAAATAAAGGTTTTTATAATTAAAGTAAATGTTGACTAAAGACCTAGTTGTAAGAACTTAATTTAACTCTGAATAAAAAAATTTAAAAAAACAAACGATGTCAATAAAGTTGGAAAAACAAAATTAAAGGTATACCATTGGGTAGCATATTGTTCTTAATTGTACGGTTACGGATGACGACGTCATCATATTTGTAGAGTTATTGATCTCTACGAAAAAATTAATGTGCGTTGATATGGTAACTATTAATATACGGTGAAACGTTTATAATCACATATTTTATAAACGATTTCATGCAAAACTCTAAACGGAAATTCGATACCACCCAGATGTGACTTGAATACAATTTAAAAAGTGTGGTCTCAATTTTAAACGAACATATTTTATCGAATTTACTGCACGCACATATTATAATATTCGTTTGTAGTAATTATAAAAATAATAATTGTTTATTTTTATACCATAATTGGGAAAACGTCACGAATCATAATATTATAAAGTATGTACTGTAATACATAATAATACACTGTATTAAAAAAAAAATATATAAAAACAGTATAATAGTGTAATAGTTTAATATTTTTATTATTCATTTCTAGATATTTAGATTAAATAAAAATTCTAAAACGAAAAATAATTTGTAAACATGCCGACTAAATGAAACAAACCACATTAAACTAGAAAACTATAACATAAATGTACATAAATATTAAGTGCTTAAGAGTTATAAATATATATTAACATAGTAAACTATAATTATCGTTACAGATTATTTTTAGAATAAAAGGAAAATCAATCTATTTGTTTCAGGATAATTTAATAAAAAAGCATTTCAATTCATACGTATTTTACATATATATTCAAGTATATAGGTATCTATATTTATTATAGAATGATTGAAGAAAAGAAAAAATACATAATTAAAAACTATGTGATGATACCATAATAAAAGTTGTTACTATTTTATAATCGTTAACACACATAAAATTTATCACGACAAACCTTCCTCGGAGTTTTGATATAATGTATATAGGAATAATGATCTTCAATTTTTTTTTTTTTTTTTATGGGTATTCTATTTATTTGTAAGTATAGTATGATCAAAAATCTTTCCCAAAAGTTATACCTGATGTATTAATAGTATAATAAATATTGTATCCAAAGAACATTAGGTATAAAGAAAGTGTTAAAAGTGGGTGAAAAATCACATTCTGTATGAGAATTTATTTAAAGTATTACTTTTCATAAAACACAAGTGTACAAGCTTAAAAACATTACTTTTCGAATGTGAAAAAAAAAAACTTATTTTCATGTACTAGTATACAAAAGCGTAATATTTTATAATGTTTTTTACTAACTTTCATGGCCGTTCGCCCGAACACCCAACATAATATAGATTAGTTCTGAACACAAACACAATGACAACAGTTCTACAAATACGAATCGTGGTTATTTGTTAATATTTTATAAAGCGCCTACAAGAAAATATTTTAATATGAATAGCTAAAAGGGACCAATATTCATCGGAATTAATAAAAATAAAACCTGCAATGACGGAGAAATCTGTGGGCGGACGGTCGTTAACGATTACATTAAAAAATTCCAAAAACGTCTGCAGATCGGCTACAAAATATTGTTTATCGGCAAAACGTGTGACACGCAGTCGAAAAAGTCCTATCTCCGCCACAAGGGTGTTGCGTGAATATTATTTATAAACATATATTCTAATTTTAAAACAATGATATTATTATGTATATTATGCTGTTCATCGATGGGAATATATATAAATTAGGGTGTGAACCGATAATATGACTTTGTTACCTAAGCTGCGGCGTTTTTGGCGCGGAGATCGCGTTAAAGGAGTTAAGGTATATGATGTAATAACATTAAGTTTTCCCAACCGCAATGAGGTGTGGGAAACTATTGCGGTTAGGGTGTCTGCGCCACAAAACTCTTTGTGCCAACCCATAAAAAACAACGAAAAAACCTCATAATATATATGAATATATCCGTTTAAACTCTTTCTCACGTTTTCGAGATTATTATACAAAACGATAAACCTAAAGCTGAAATGTGACGGTGTGTGATGCAGGTTAATACACGGGATTGGCGCTACTTCGGACTGATGGTCCTGCGAGTGGGGGCTCAGGTAAAGCAACCATATTTCGTAAAAGGATACGCGACGGTGAACCGTGTTTTATCTCATACTCACTTGAAAATTTTTACACGGGTATGTGTACCAAGTCGGCCTAATAAAATGCACTCATAACACGTAATTAATTTCCACACCACACCACCTGACCGGTCATGATATCACCCCTCATCAAGTCTATCCTTTGACAAGGTATACTACGTGCACAAGAAAGTGATATATTTCCACTTAAAAATTAAAACTTCCGATATATAACCAGTATTGTAATGTACATTGACTACTCACGGTTTTTACAACGATAATTTATTATAAAAATACTTTGGCACATATAGTATTTAAGTACATACTATTAAAATGTATATAGTTGTTAATATTATATATATTGTTATTAACATAATTCTTTATTTAGTAATCTTTTATAATACGAACTATGAGCTTAATTAATAAAATAATGTACAGTAATGGTATAACAGATCGAAAAGACCCCCAATTAGATACCTATACTTTTACCTATTAGAACCTATACTTTGTCAACAGATTCATAATATATATTAAAATATAGTTGTATTATACATGCCTTACATACTATAATATTATATTTATAATCATAATAATAATAACTTGGAAAACAATATACCGTGTTATTTACGGTTAAAACGCTCGTGTGTAGCTATAATAAAATTACTTTGCTAAAGCTGAAGCCTATAATAATATAGTAACTGTACATGCGGTAGATATTGTAATATACGTCATCGAATAAAAGTTGTTATATTTATAGGTTCATATTGTATTTTACCTGTTTTCCGTCTGCTGTGTATTCTTTTAGCTGTTTATCGTTAAATATTCAAAAATATAATTTCCGTTATTGTTGATAATCCATTATTTTATTCTCAATTCGATTAAAAGTTTGAAATTCAATGAAAATTAAATAAAATACAACAAGGGAAACTTTAGATTGTTTATTTTTGAAAGCAACGCCAGCAACACCAATGTATTTTATTTTCTTAAATAAAATAAACAGCTCAGATTGCAGTTTCTAATATTTTGTTCTTTTAAATTCAATTACATCATTGTACAATTTATTATTTTAATGTTTATCTTTGGATTACACCATACACGATATATGGTACATATATTTTATAATTATTTATCTTATTGCATTTAACTTTTACAAGATGGCGTTTTAAACCGAATAATTTTAGTTTATTTTCTGGAATTAAATTTAAAACATATTTTTAGATTTTGAATGGAGTGATGAATGTATTGATTTTACAATGATATGATTTTTTTTTTAGTATATTAAGATTTTTATTTATAAACGTTATTGTAAATAAAAAAAAAAAAAAAACAAATGCGTATATACTTAAATAATATTTACCTATAATTGGTATATGCTTTACAACTAATAATAGAGTATAACATTATAATGTAGTATGATTATTAATTAACAGTTCATTTTATGTTGTCATTAATTCACATTTCGTTAATAACTCCAACCAACGTGTAACTTATTAAATATATATATAATATATATATAAATAAATTGTATTATTAGATATGTAGTGTATATTATTAAAGTTTAAATTATATATATAGAATTCTTGAATCATTTATTTACATTAAAATTGTAGATTCGATTCTTTGGATAAAGTAGTTATGAAGAATTATAACTGCACTTTTATTTTTAAAACAAAATTATCTAATAATAAGTCATGTACTCGTAACTAGTATAAACAATAAACATCATACTATATGATTAGGTATTAGAAATAAAAAGAATTCAACTAACTAAAAAAAATACAGATTTTTCCATTAACCAAAGTGTGAAAAATATTTGCTAAATCTTCTAATACACGCGACCTAACCGTCAATCTGGCTGTAGTTTTATAATTTTATCTCATAATCCACGTGACCAACATTATTCACTTAATTTTACCGTAACGTAATATTTTGTGGTGACATATTTACGCGTGTACTTACGCGGGGGAATAAATTATTTGTCGTTTACTTAATACCAAATCGGCTTACCGTCAAATAATCATGTCGTAAACAGGGAAGAGGTGTAAAAAATTGTAATGCTTCTAAATAAGCGTTTGTTAGGTTATCACGAAAAAAAAAGTAATAATTATAAAAATGAACATAAATTCGAAGATTTATTATAAATATCAACGACAATAACTGTAGTTATAAGAGAGTTAAAAAAATATGTATATAGCCAACGAAAATATATATATATATATATATATAATAAAACAGTATTAGGTATTAAATGTATCATATTAGGCTCACCTCATGGCGGAGTTGTGTATTGTATCTAATTATAGTTTTAATTGAAATAATCACGATCCTGGTAAACAGATGATACTGACTGCAATCCCGGTTGTAATTCTCTCGTAGTACGTGTTTTTTGTTTTAGATGTTATGATGAGGTTCGTAGGTCAATTCGAACTGATGTACGAAAACCAAAGCCTGTGTATAATATTCTTTTACTTGGCTCGAGCGCATACACTACACGTTGCTAAGGAAACAGTGGTTTTTTTCTTTTTTTTTTTTTCCATTCGAGCGGTTTTGTTATCGCAGTCTGATACATCGAGTCCACGTATTAAGCCAATCAGGAACGCACACAGATGCATCTGCATCAGTGCATTTTTGAATTAACATGCACACAGTACATATTATTTTAAACGTGGCAAGCGGTGCCAGCAATAATTATCATAATAACGATCCGACGACCTCAAGAGATATGGAAACCCATTTATTTTATAAGCATTCTATTAAGCTACGGATAGCTTTTATGGATTAGTAACGTTCATACACAAGTATACCTCCCACCTACATTTACGTACCAATTATATGGCATCCCGTTTTGGAATTCAAAGTTTGCAAAATATTCATAGTTCGTTATTCACTGTGCGAATATTTATAGTCCGTACATTAATATCACGACTATTATATCACATCATGTGACCCTACGACTTTTAAATGTTAAGCGTTATATGGGTTAATACTATACATAAATGCACAATATAACGTCTTTGACAAATATTTATGGGTCGTACATGACATTTAACCGCGGCGACTGCGCGATGTATTATCAACTTTATTATTATATTAATTATCTTACCTACACGTACGAAGCATTGTTATTATGAAATAAATACCTACGCGAACAATCTCTCCTCGGAATAACGTGTTTGCCGGAAGTCTATGCATATAATGTTATAATCCTTTGACGTTTATCATCCGGCTAAATCGGATGATACAACGTCGGCGTAGCGATACTCGCACATGATTTAACTTACCAAATAATATGCGAGATAAAATGGTTGTGGTGCCGTGCCAAAATAATAAAGTTAAAATATTACTAGCTACACTTTTATCAGTATTTATATATACGATGGTTTTAAAAAATCGATACACCTTTTCTACCGGTCATCAGTGACTACGTGTCCGCAATGAGGGAAAGGAAGGCGTCACGTAGTAACCGCCTCTGATAGGGGCATCGAGGACTCTTAAGATATCACGGGAGTAGGTGAATTGTGAACACGATCATCGAAAACTATTTTATTTGTGAGGGTGAATCGCAGGAAAACGATAATAAGTGCGTCGTTTTCAAGTGTCGACGATATTATGTTAGTTAATTTTGCTTGATTCACCAGATCGGTGTCCAAGACTTGCTATATAAAAAACTGTTGTGGAGTGTCGTACGAATTGCTGTGGTTCGGTTCAAATTTGGGATAAGTCTTTTGACAATATGGTTTCACTGCACAGATGATAATATTAAGAATATAAAGTGACACTATTTTATGCGTGACGTAGAAAAAAAGTTAAATTCAGAACTTAAGTTTGGGTTTTAGATCGAAGTTACTTTTTTTTGAAGTCACATAACAATTTTTTTTACGTTTTGTATGAACCAACAAAATTGGCATTCAGGATAGTGTACCCAGCCATTTTTTTCTAATTTTTTTTCTTTTTTTACTTGTCCACGGAGTTTGTTCAAAACAAACAAAAAATAGCAACAGCACATAAGTATATAGGTACTGTATAAATAAATTTATCAATTATATCGCTTATAATGCCAGAATATTGTGTATTTTTACATTAAAATATCTTTTTGGATAAAATTGAGAAAATTCACCACAGGTATTTACTACACGTCAAATTTGCGTCAAGTTTCACACAAATAAATGAATTACCACCAGCAAGAAAATTATATTATTATGAAACACAATTACTCAAAAATATGTTTTTTTTTTTTTTTTTATCAGACTGTTAAAAAATAGGAACCGTTGTAAAGGATTTTTTTTTTTCCAGAGCCTTTTCATAGCACTGACACAACAAGATACATATTTTGTTATTTTTCTACTGCTGTAATTGGTTGTTTTTTTATACACCATATATTTTCAAAACTTTTCTACCGTCTATTAATATTTTTCAACAGTTGGTAATACAATTTCTATTTCACAAAGTGTATGATATTTATACATAGTAATATAGTATTCACAACAATTCCAGGTTTATATCTGTATGGAAAGTTTCAAGCACAGATGATTTCAATAGCCGTTTTCTCAGATATATTTAAAATAACATGTATGTTTGTATAGAGATTTTAGGTTATAAAAAGTTTAAATTTTTAAATATGTACTCCAGAGACCAATTTCAGAATGAACCATTTCAAAGCGACTAGCAGTACTTATATATAGGAACGTACGATTTTATTCAAATATTTGTACTTAAAATACTGCGAAAAAGCGAAAATAATGTTTATCAAATGCATATATTGGGCACAGTTTTAACGAAAAATTGGTATTATTGGATTAAATAATAAAAATAGAAATGTTATTTTATTCAAGCGAGTAGTATATTATAAATAATAATAACAAAGGAATTTAAAACTTTTTCCTATTTGCCCAAGTATAAAATAATAAACCTTTGACTACATAATATTATATAAATGTGTTATTCGATAATAATGTATATGAATTGAAAAAAACGGTCATGTTTTCGTTGTAAGAATTTTGTGGAATAAAATAAAATGGTTAACACCGTTAAGAAGTTTGTTGTTTATAAAGTGTGGCACAAGTTAATGTCAATAGCTTAATAAGATTTTCTAACGCTTAACCAAGCACAAAATATTGACTTTTGAGTTACTGTATTATTTTCCTTCCACCTAAAATAATAAGTTCAAGCTTCTTTATCGATGATTTAACAAAATTTTGTTTTGTTTTATATCAGACTATGGTAAATTTATTGCTGATGCATATTTTACATAACTGTATGTAAATCGAAACTTTCATACATGGAATTGTACTTAATACTAAAAATTAACTACATTAATCTTAAAAATTCAAGAAAATAGTCTAAAACACTTGCAATAATTTATAATAACAATAATTTAGTAGGTAATTCAAATGTATGAACCTAATTCGTAATTCGTAAATTGGACTTTATTATCAATATAATTGATGGTATCAATCGATAATATTAAATCGCATACTTTCAAATATATTTACAAGAAATTCGATTTTTAAATCACATATATTAATATTAGTATTAAATAAAACAGCCAAAGTATAATTTCATATTTTATGATATTGTTACGTATGAGAAATCTGTTTGATTTTTTTTTTTTTTTTTTTAATTTCCGCAGTAAATTCAGATCACACGATTTGTATATTGTATACACATATGTTTTTCTTGTTAGTAAAAAATACATTTATTACGCATAACATAATATTAATATACGACGTTTGGTTTTTTTGATGTCGTTGTCGAGTAGAGCCGTCAATCCAACGTTGTGATACATTATTATAAAAACGAGAATATTATTATGATATAATATGAAAAAAACACATTTTTCCAGTCACACATACACTATTACGCGCACACATACGCAAATGCATACAAATATATATAAATACGAACACAAATACTAACGTATACATAGAAATGAATAAATCGTCGAACATTAATTATCGACATTGTACCGGCGCCAATTTTTTATACCGCGATATTTTAGAGGACAATTTGTATTGTCCCCTCATCCGCTACCCGGCTGGCAATTCCTATCCCATCATAGAAGAGCCGAACCGATATATTTTTTTTTTTTTTGTGATACGTAATGCGACGTGGCACACGCCAAGAGTAATGTCAAACCTTCGCCGCACTGCAGACGCTCTGCGGACAAATAACTATAGCCGCACGGCCGCACTCTCCATACGCACACCCGCGCTCGTTGACCCCTACACGTCCACCGCAGCGTTCGGTCGACGGGAGCTTACGGTGCACCCCCGATCCTTTTTCATCCCCACTTCACAGTCTTCTCCCCACTGCAGCCGTTCTGGGGATCTTTCAATTTATCTCGTCTCATATAAAGGTATTTTACACCCGTCGCACATTTTTTTTTTTAAATATATATATATGATATATCCAGACTGAAACGTCCGTCCCAATACGTGACTATTTGCCGATATAACGCTTTTAACCGAAACCCGAGCCTGCACTGGTGTAATTGCTCGCGGCAGCCGCCACCGCCACCGGAATCGACGAACGGAAATACTCCCTCCACACACCATACACGTATCTGTTTGGAAGTTGCAATTACTGTATTTTATACGTATACATAACACACCGATTCTAACTAGACAGCCGGATAGATAGATAGATCTCTGACATTCCGAGTTGTATTTTACTACCCACCGTTATCCTCTCTTAGCCCCGCGTCGTATATGCAACCTATAAAATAACATACCGAGTGCAAGCACGCCGCTGAACTGTTTTTATCTGACGGTTTGATCCATGTACATAACACCGACGCGTCTAACCGGAAGCATATAATCAGCTCGTCCGTCACGTGTATAAAATAATATATATATAGTATATACGCAAGAGTGAGGATAAAGGGGGGGGAGAGACGGAAAACCAACTTTTAAACCTCCTGCGCGGGCTTAACTCGTCCCAACGGTTTTCGTATAAAACGACCCGTCACAATCTATTACTGAGTGATTTTATTTTGTTACGGTGGCACAGAGTATGAGTGTTTTAGCAGGTTAATCATTACCGCGATACGTCTAACCCGGTTATACGAATTATATCGCTTTATAAATTAAGTATGTTTATTTTTGGATATCTGTATAACAACGTACCTATCATTCGTTTTCGACCTCGCAGTCAAGTTATTTCATAGTATACGTTTAAAATAATGACAATAATAATTTATCGTCGTTGCCGAATATAAGACTGAAACCACCGTATAAACGTATAAGCATATCACATATTTTCAGTACAATTGAGTATTATTTAAAATAATATCACGGTCTCGTACATGCGATATTGACGTCATTATTTGACATGTATCTATAGCCTATACATGCACATATCTATAATGGACTACAAACATT